TGGCTGGACTCTATAGCCTGAGTCAACGTCCAGCGATTCCCGCAGCCCTCGTGGGGGATGACAGGCCATTAAGAAGGCATTTACAACATAGGGTGGTCAGAGTTTTGGTGGGAGTAGCACAAGGCGAGGTGGCGGCAGAGGAGAGGCACGTGACTCAGCTGGGAGAAATCAAGGAAGGCTTCCCGGAGGAGGCGACATTTCAGCCATGACAAAGGATCAGTAGGAGTTTGGCAGGTGGAAGAGGCAGAGAAGGTGTTCCAGGAAAGGGGAACAGCATAAGCAAACTCCCAGAGGCTACAGAGAACTCGCTGCATTTGAAAAGCTGACAGGAGCCCTGTGCAGCTGGAGCTTTGGGTTGGTTGGGGAGGAGGAGAGGCGATGCAGGCAGCGACCCTGATCATCTCGGGGTTATCGGCCGAGGCAGGGAGGGGAGCCAGAGAATGGCTTCATTGCCTTACGTTAAATTATGTTAAAACTTTTGAAAAAAAAAAACCACTTTTGAACTATTTGAAACTGTGATTCTATGGGCCACATACAATGTTCATTAAAATAAAATTTAAGAATGGGCCAGGCGTGGAGGCAGGAGGATTGCTTGAAGCTAGGAGTTTGAGACCAGCCTGGGCGCTGCAATGTCAGAGTGGATTGCAGCACCTCCCCCAGCTCCAAAAGAATTGGAAAAATAAAAGAGACCTGCCTGGGCAACATAGCAAGACCCCATCTCTAAAAAAATTTTTAAAAAAATGTAGCCAGGTATGGTGCCACAACCCTGTAGTCCCATCTGCTCTGGAGGCTGAGGCAGAGGGATTGCTTGAGTGCAGGATTTTGAGGCTGCAGTGAGCTGTGACCAAACCACTGCTCTTCAGCCTGGGTGACAGAGGGGCCTGCACTAAAAAAAAAAAAAAAGATGTACGTCAGTCAAGAGATAAATAAAGCAGGAGGGAACAATATAGGGTAAGGATAAGGAATGATGAGGGTGTGTTCAGAGGTGGCTTCTCTGAGGGGTGACATGTAAGCAAAAATCTGAAGGAGGAGAAGAAATAATGTCTAGTAGATGTGTTGCAAGCAGAGGGGAAAGCCAGTGCAAAGGCCCTGAGGCAGGAGCTTGCCCGGCTTGTTGAAGGGCCCCCCAAGGAGGCCGGTGCAGCCAGAGCAGCGCGGTCGAGGTGGGGGGAAAGAGGGGCCGGGGAGGCAGGGCCAGATGGAGCAGGACCTTGGGGTGGGAGGACTGGGCTGTTCACCCTGAGCAAGGTGGGAGCCATGGAGGGTTCTATACAGAGGAGGGCCACGACTTGCCTGAAGTTTTAACACACATCCTCGGCTGCATCCGCGTCCCCATCCGTGTCTGTCGCTACCCACCTGTCGGCGACCGTGACTCCCAGCCAGGACTTCCAACCAGGGCCCCGGGGACCTGGGGATCTTAAGTCAGGTCCCGATCCTCATTGTGCCGACCGGCCCACCCGCCCCCGGAGTCCCCTCGAACTGCGGGCGCGGGGGACCCCACGCCACCGCGCGGTGGCGCTGACGCGGCCGCCCTGCCCGCAGTCGTCCTGCTCCTCCCAGGAGCGCCTGCACCAGCTGCCCTACCAGCCCACGGTGGACGAGCTCCGCTTCCTGTCCAAGCACTTCGGCAGCACCGAGAGCATCACGGACGAGGATGGCGGCCGCCGCTCCCCCGCCGTGCGGCCCCGCTCGCGGAGCCTCAGGTGTGCGGGCGCGGCGGGGACGGGGACAGGGCGGGGACGGGGCGGGGACAGGGCGGGGACAGGGCCGGCGGCGGGCGCTGGACGCAGGCCGGGCTTCTCTCCCCGCAGCCCCGGGCGCTCGCCCTCCTCCTGCGACAACGAGATCGTGATGATGAACCACGTCTACAAGGAGAGGTTCCCCAAGGTGAGCCCGGGGTGGCCCGGGGCACCGTCGCCGTCGGAGCCCCCGCGCGCCCCCTGGCGGCCGGCGCGCGCAGCGCGGGCTCCCCCCGGCGGCGACAGCCTCCCCGCTCAGCCTCCCGGCCCAGCCTCCCGCCTCCGCCTCCCGCAGGCCACGGCGCAGATGGAGGAGAAGCTGCGCGACTTCACCCGCGCCTACGAGCCCGACAGCGTGCTGCCGCTGGCCGACGGCGTGCTCAGCTTCATCCACCACCAGATCATCGAGCTGGCCAGGGACTGCCTCACCAAGTCCCGCGACGGCCTCATCACCACCGTGTACTTCTACGAGCTGCAGGAAAACCTGGAGAAGCTGCTGCAGGACGTGAGTGCGCGCGCGCGCGTGCACGCGGGGCCCGGCCGGGCCTCAGGCTCCGCACCCCCAATCACGCCCAGTGCCCCCCACCCCCTCCCTCCCCCCACGGCGCTGCGGGGAGCGCTTGGAGGTCGGACGGCGGAGGCAGGGGGTTAACCTCCCTTACTTCCTTCGGGTCCTTACTCAGATGTCACCTTCTTGGGGGTGGGGGGGCTTCCTAGACCCGCCCCCGCCCATTAAAAAATTTAAACTCCGCTCACACCCCCCACCCACTTGCTCTGTAATTTCTCCTGAACGCTTAGCACCAAACTGCAGATTTTTGCTTATTTTATTTCTTGTCTCCCCTTTGTCCAATGTCAGCCCCACACGTGGGGGAGGGGGACTCGTCCCGTTCACTGCTGTGTCCCTGGTGTCTGGCACAGTGCCCAGAGCACCGTCCGTGCCCGGTGAATGTTGGTTAAACGACTAGATGCGTGGCCGGGCACGGTGGCACCTGCCTGCAGTCCCAGCAACTGCTGAGGCTGAGGCTGGAGGATCGCTGGAGCCCAGGAGTTCAAGGCTGCGGTGAGCTGTGGTCCTGCCACTGCACTCCAGCCTGGGTTACAGATGAGACCCTTCTCTAAAAAGAAAAAAATGAATGAATGAATGAAAGTAAGCAAGAGAATGTCCCCATTCAACTTAATGGTGATGGATATGATTTGTTGAACAACTACCATGTGCTGGGCACTGGGGACATGGCAGTGAACAAACCAGACAGATATTCTGGGCCCTATGGGGCTGATGTTCTAGTGTGAGAGACACGAGAAACCAGCCAATCAGGGGCTGTGATGATTTCTGGGGACACTCAGGGCCATGAAGCAATACAACGGGCAACAGGGATGGAGTGTCAAAGCTCCCTTGTAAAGACCAGGGAGGCCTCCCTGGAGGATGTGGCATTGCTATCGGGACAAGAATAATAAGTAGGTAGCAGCCAGGAGAAGAGCCGGGCAACGTGTGTTGAGCAGAGGGAGGAGCATGTGCAAAGGCCCTGAGGTGGGAAAGGAGTCTGGGGAAATTTCGGGAGCACAGAAGCCAAGGGACACTAGTGTTGTGAGATGAGGTTGGAGAAGGGCACAGGGACCGGAATATGGGGCGCTGGGCTCCAGACCCCCAGCCCAGACCTGACGGGCAGCATGTTAGTGTCACTATGGGCTTTGGTGTCGGGTCTGGTGGTTCGTATTATTTACTTTTTAAGAGACAGGGTTTTGCTATGTTGCCCAAGTTGGGCTTGAACTCCTGGGCTCAAAGGATCCTCCTGCCTCAGGCTCCCAAGCAGCAGAGACTAGAGGTGCATTTCTGCCACCACGGCTGGCTCCACATCTGGTTTGAGTCTGGATTTTGCTGCTAGGTCCTTAGGAGTTGAGAGCACACACTCCACACAGGCTAGGCTCCCAGCTAGCTCATCACTTCCTTGCTGTGCAGCCTTTGCTACACACTCAACCCTTCTGTGCCTCAGTTCTGCTACAGCCATGGGATTCATGCTGGATGTGGTGGCATGCACCTGTAGTCCCAGCTACCTGAGTTAAACTCATGGGCTCGAGAGATCCTCCTGCCTCAGCCTCCTGAGTAGCTGGGATACCGGTAAGCACCAACATTCTAGCTAATTTTTCTATTTTTTGCAGAGATAGAGTCTTGCTATGTTGCCCAGGCTGGTCTCAAACTTCTGGCCTCAAGCGATCCTCCTGCCTTGGCTCCCAAAGTGCTAGGATTACAGGAGCGAGTCACTATGCCTGGCCCAAGACCCTGTCCTTAAAAAATAAAAATAAAATAAAAGCAGCTTAATGTTGTCTGAGGATGCTGCCAAGAGGCATAGGGAGATTTTTAGATCAGATGAGGGAGTGCTTACGGTAGGCCTCCCTGAGGAGGTAACAGCTGAGCAGAGACTTGAAGGAGGAGAAAGGAGGAGCCATGCAGGGATTCAGAGGGAGAGCATGCCAGGCAGACAGATTCTAACTCAGCCTGGATAAACATTAGGCATCAGGGTTGGGACTATGGCAAGGACTAGTGCTATTCTGAAGATAAATTGAATGAGTGAAGGTTTTAGGACTCTGTTTGCTCTAATCATTATAATTTGTCATTATCATAATATTATCTCATTATTTTTTTATTTTTAACTTTTAATTTAATTATTATTTATTCATTATTTTTTTTTCTCAACAGCTTCAAATGTTTAACTGCTCTTTATCATTATGTTTAATGGTGGCCTGGGCATCGGTTTTCTCACCTGTAAAATGGGACAACAGCAGCTGTGCCTGCCCGTGGGTCCGGGACAGGGGCCTGGCTGAGGCCGGGGTGCCTGTGAACAGCCACCCCTGTGCCCTTCTCCCCTAGGCCTATGAACGCTCGAGAGCCTGGAGGTGGCCTTTGTCACCCAGCTGGTAAGAAGTTGCTCATTATCATCTCCCGGCCCGCGAGGCTGCTGGAGTGCCTGGTGAGGGCTGGGTGTGGTGGGTGGTGGGGACAGCGCGGGGGTGGGTCCCCTCCGAGCCTGCAGAGAGCCGAGCCGGTTCCTGCCCTCGCTCAGGAATTCAACCCCGAGGAGTTCTACACCTGCTGGAGGCGGCCGAGGGCCACGCCAAGGAGGGCCACCTCGTGAAAACGGACATCCCGCGCTACATCATCCGCCAGCTCGGCCTCACGCGCGACCCTTCCCAGGTGCCAGCTGGCGGGCGCAGGGTGGCCAGGCGCGCGCGGCCGGCCCGCGCGCGCTCACTCTCCGCCCTCCCCAGACGTGGTGCACCTGGAGGAGCAAGACAGCGGCGGCTCCAACACCCCCGAGCAGGACGACCTCTCGGAGGTAAGGCCCCGTGGCCCTGAAGTCGGCACCCCGGTCCGTGGGTGGGCAGGCCAGGCTTTGCCCTCAGCCCTGTGGATCTCTTGGTCCTGACTCTGAGCTCGGTTTCCCCATCTGTAAAATGGGATTCATAAAGCTCTTGCCGGGCCGGGTGGCTCTCGCCTGTAATCCAGCACTCTGGGAGGCCGAGGCGGCAGATCGCTCGAAGTCAGGAGTTCGAAAACCAGCCTGAGCAAGAGCGAGACCCCGTCTCTACTATAAATAGAAAGAAATTAATTGGCCACATAATAGATATATAGAAAAAATTAGCCGGGCATGGTGGCACATGCCTGTAGTCCCAGCTACTCGGGAGGCTGAGGCAGGAGGATCGCTTGAGCCCAGGAGTTGGAGGTTGCTGTGAGCGAGGCTGACGCCACGGCACTCACTCTAGCCTGGGCAACAAAGTAAGACTCTATCTCAAAAATAATAATAATAATAATAATAATAATAATAGCTCTTGTTCTATGGCCTTTTTCCTTTTCATGATAAAATACTCACAATGTAAAGTTTAATTCACCGTTTGAACCATTTAAAAATTAACAATTCAGTGGCATTTAGTGCATTCACAATGTTTTACGACCGTGACAACTGTCTAGTCCCAGGACTTTTTAAAAATCCCCCACAAGGAAATCTCAGACCCATTAAACAGTCACTCCCCACTCCCCCCTTCCCCAGCCCCTGGCCAGCACCGATCTACTTTCTATCTTGATGGATTTGCCTATTCCGGACATTTGATATAAAGGGAATTATTCACTCCGTGGAGTTTTGTGTCTAGCTCATTTCGCCCAGCATAAAGTTTTTGAGGTTCACGCACATTGCGGCATGGGCTAGAGCTAAATTCCTTTTTATGGATGAATATTATTCCATGGTGTGGATAGACCACATTTATTCAGCATAGATATGTTTGTGTCAATATCTACGTAATACATCTCTTTGTCCCTAACAAAAATCAAAATAATTTTCAAGAAAGATATGCCATGAAAAATCTTTGTTTATCCATTCATCCATCGGTAGACATTGGTTTGTCCATCTTTTGTCTATTGTGAATAGTGCTGCCATGAACATTTGTGTACAAGTATTTGTTTAAACAACTGTTTTCAATTATTTTGGGTATATGCCTAGGAATGGAATTGCTGGGTCATATGATGACACTATGTTTAACTTATTGAGGGGCTGGGCATGGTGGCTCACACCTGTAATCCTAGCACTCTGGAAGGCCGAGGTGGTAGTATCGCTTGAGGTCAGGAGTTCAAGACCAGCCTCAGCAAGAGCGAGACCTCATCTCTATAAAAAAAAAAAAAATAGAATTAGCTGGGCAACTAAAAATAGAAGAAAAATAGCCGAGTGTACTGGTGCATGCCTGTAGCCCCAGCTACTTGGGAGGCTGAGGCAGGAGGATGGCTTGAGCCCAGGAGTTGGAGGCTGCTGTGAGCTGGGCTGACACCATGGCATTCTAGCCTGGACAACAGAGCAAGACTCTGTGCCTGCCCTGGTGGCCACATGTGTATTTTCTCTGAACGGCCTAGTGTTTTTAAAAAATTTGAAGCAAAATATCAAAATCAGAAGATTTTGCCTCAAAATCTGGGTTTGGCCTTCTCTTGGAAAATCAGGAGTTTGACAGCACGGTGGTGGGGCAGCTGTCACCAAGTGGAGGCTGCTCTGTGATACTGAGAACCTGCTTCCCTGGCACCATGGCCTCCCCTGGCCTACCTGGCCCTGCAGGGGCCTGTGGCTGTGACCTGGTGTTTTAAATCGTGTCTACAGCTAGGCGCGGTGGCTCACGCCTGTAATCCTAGCACTCTGGGAGCTGAGGCGGGAGGATTGCTCGAGGTCAGGAGTTCGAAAACAGCCTGAGCAAGAGCAAGACCCCCATCTCTACTATAAATAGAAAGAAATTAATTGGTCAACTAATATATATGGAAAAAATTAGCCGGGCATGGCGGCGCATGCCTGTAGTCCCAGCTACTTGGGAGGCTGAGGCAGGAGGATTGCTTGAGCCCAGGAGTTTGAGGTTGCTGTGAGCTAGGCTGACGCCACGGCACTCACTCTAGCCTGGGCAACAAAGCGAGACTCTGTCTCAAAAAAAATAAAATAAAATAAATCGTGTCTACGCATTCACACACATATACACACACATCTTTCTTTTATATATATATTTTAAAAGAATCTCACTGTGCATGCCATTTGTTTAATTTTTCGAATAGGTAATGGAATGACATCACTCAAAAGTCTAAAACTCTAAAAAAGGTATTTATCTCTAATTGTTGTTTGTAGGATTCTACATTATTCCATTCAATCAAATTTGTTAATTGAGTGATTCAAATCTTCCATCTCCCTATTCATATTTTTTGCCTGATTAATAGTTTCTGAGAGATATGTGTTAAACCCTTCTTTTAAGCAAATTCACCTTGTAATTATGTCAATTTTTTTGTGTGTCAGATTTTTTTAAGGCTACACACCTAGGAGCATATAAGCTCAATATTTTTATTCAGCATAGATATTTTTGTGTAACATCTATATAATAAATCTCTTTGTCCCTAAGAAAAATCAAAATAATTACCAAGGAAGATATACCATGAAAAATCTTACTTCCACCTTTGTCCTCCATTGCCTTATATCTCCAAAATATGATTATATAGTTTCATTTGGCCACTTTTTTTGTTCAGAGTTCCCCTATCTTTAGTTGTAGAGGTTATCCAATAATTTGTTTAATTACATCACATACTTCTGAGTTCTGTTTTGCCACTTTTTTTTTTAGACAAAAACATACAGTACATATTGTTCATTGTGTTTTTCCAGTCCAAAGTTCACTCCACTTTGGAGAACTTTCTGAATCCGTGTACAGAAAGATTTCTCATTTTTTAAAAATCAGTAGCACAATATTTCTTTATATAGATGCCCCTCATGTGCTCATGTGTTTATTTAACCAATTTCCTGTAGATGGGCATACGGTGTTTCCAGTCTTGCAATGAGCAAGATCACACATATGTTATTGTTCACATGTGCAAGCATAGGGTAGCATAAATTCAGAAACGAAATTGCCGAGCCAAAGGGAACATGCATTTGTAATTGTAATTCTGATATATACCAAAGTACCTTCTATGGGAGTTGTACTAATTTATGCTCCCAACAGCAGGGTATAAAAGTGCCTGTTTCCCCAACATCTTTGCCTACAGAGTGTGTTAGCCTTTTGGATTTTTTTTTTTGCCCACCTACTAGGTAAAAAATGGTACTTTGTGGTAATGATAACTTGCCTTCCTGTCATTATGTGTGAGATTGAGTAATCTAACTCTAGTTCACATACATTTGTCCACTTTTCTTCTCTTCGATTATTAGGTCTTGTTATTGATTTCTAGCAACTCTTTATATATTTACATGTTAGGATCCATTTTGTAGGTTTTCTGCTATCTTCCCTAATGGAAGAAGTCAGGGAATATGTCTTCAGAGTCAGTCTTGGATTCAAGGCTTGACTTTGTTTCTCCCTCATTGTGGCACTCACCCTATCTGTGCCTCAGTTTCCCCACGTGTAAGGTAGAGTAACGAGAGTCCCACTTTCATGACGACGATGGCAATGGTCTCCATGTTTCCCCTGAAGGGCCGCAGCAGCACCAAGGCCAAGAAGCCACCGGGGGAGAATGACTTTGACACCATCAAGCTCATAAGCAATGGCGCCTACGGGTGAGCCACCCGGGGCTCTGGCGGGGGGAGGGTGGCGGAGGCCGGGTGTCTCGGAGGTGATGGCCGGTCCTCGCTCTCTCCCCCTGCAGGGCCGTCTACCTGGTGCGGCACCGCGACACGCGGCAGCGCTTCGCCATGAAGAAGATCAACAAGCAGAACCTGATCTTGCGCAACCAGATCCAGCAGGCCTTCGTGGAGCGCGACATCCTCACCTTCGCCGAGAACCCCTTCGTGGTGGGCATGTTCTGCTCCTTCGAGACCCGGCGCCACCTCTGCATGGTCATGGAGTACGTGGAAGGTGCGGCTGCCTGCGGGGCTGCAGGGGGACCGGGAGACGCACGCCAGCCAGGGCTGCGGCCAGGGCCACCGGCGCGTGCCGGCTCTCTGCCTGTGTGTTTACCCGCCTCCTTCTCCATCTCACCTCTGCACGTTTCCAGCCATCTATCGCTGTGTCTGCCTGTTTTTCATTCCATTCAATACAGAGACATCCGTTCAGCCATCTATTATCCCCCCATTATTCACCCATCCGTCCTTCCATCTATTCATTTGCTAATCAATCTGGTTTTCCATCCACACACCCGTGCACCTGTTTATAAGTCCATCTCTCCATCCATTTATTTGTCTTTGTGATTATCCATCCATTCGTCCACCCATATATCCATTGTCTATTTTTTAAAATTAACTGTTTATTAATATTATCTCATTATTTTTTTATTTTTAACTTTTAATTTAATTATTATTTATTCATTATTTTTTTTTTCTCAACAGCTTCAAATGTTTAACTGCTCTTTATCATTATGTTTAATGTGTGGCCTGGGCATCGGTTTTCTCACCTGTAAAATGGGACAACAGCAGCTGTGCCTGCCCGTGGGTCCGGGACAGGGGCCTGGCTGAGGCCGGGGTGCCTGTGAACAGCCACCCCTGTGCCCTTCTCCCCTAGGCCTATGAACGCTCGAGAGCCTGGAGGTGGCCTTTGTCACCCAGCTGGTAAGAAGTTGCTCATTATCATCTCCCGGCCCGCGAGGCTGCTGGAGTGCCTGGTGAGGGCTGGGTGTGGTGGGGTGGTGGGGACAGCGCGGGGGTGGGTCCCCTCCGAGCCTGCAGAGAGCCGAGCCGGTTCCTGCCCTCGCTCAGGAATTCAACCCCGAGGAGTTCTACCACCTGCTGGAGGCGGCCGAGGGCCACGCCAAGGAGGGCCACCTCGTGAAAACGGACATCCCGCGCTACATCATCCGCCAGCTCGGCCTCACGCGCGACCCCTTCCCAGGTGCCAGCTGGCGGGCGCAGGGTGGCCAGGCGCGCGCGGGCCCCGGCGCGCGCTCACTCTCCGTCCCTCCCCAGACGTGGTGCACCTGGAGGAGCAAGACAGCGGCGGCTCCAACACCCCCGAGCAGGACGACCTCTCGGAGGTAAGGCCCCGTGGCCCTGAAGTCGGCACCCCGGTCCGTGGGTGGGCAGGCCAGGGCTTTGCCCTCAGGCCCTGTGGATCTCTCGGTCCTGCACTCTGAGCCTCGGTTTCCCCATCTGTAAAATGGGATTAATAAGAGCTCTTGGCCGGGCCGGGTGGCTCGCGCCTGTAATCCAGCACTCTGGGAGGCCGAGGCGGCAGATCGCTCGAAGTCAGGAGTTCGAAAACCAGCCTGAGCAAAGAGCGAGACCCCGTCTCTACTATAAATAGAAAGAAATTAATTGCCACATAATAGATATATAGAAAAAATTAGCCGGGCATGGTGGCACATGCCTGTAGTCCCCGCTACTCGGGAGGCTGAGGCAGGAGGATCGCTTGAGCCCAGGAGTTGGAGGTTGCTGTGAGCGAGGCTGACGCCACGGCACTCACTCTAGCCTGGGCAACAAAGTAAGACTCTATCTCAAAAATAATAATAATAATAATAATAATAATAATAATAGCTCTTGTTCTATGGCCTTTTTCCTTTTCATGATAAAATACTCACAATGTAAAGTTTAATTCACCGTTTGAACCATTTAAAATTAACAATTCAGTGGCATTTAGTGCATTCACAATGTTTACGACCGTGACAACTGTCTAGTCCCAGGACTTTTTAAAATCCCCCACAAGAAATCTCAGACCCATTAAACAGTCACTCCCCACTCCCCCCTCCCCAGCCCCTGGCCAGCACCGATCTACTTTCTCTCTTGATGGATTTGCCTATTCCGGACATTTGATATAAAGGGAATTATTCACTCCGTGGATTTTTGTGTCTAGCTCATTTCGCCCAGCATAAAGTTTTTGAGGTTCACGCACATTGTGGCATGGGCTAGAGCTAATTCCTTTTTATGGATGAATATTATTCCATGGTGTGGATAGACCACATTTATTCAGCATAGATATGTTTGTGTCAATATCTACGTTACATCTCTTTGTCCCTAAAAAATCAAAATAATTTCAAGAAAGATATACCATGAAAAATCTTTGTTTATCCATTCATCCATCGGTAGACATTGGTTTGTCCATCTTTTGTCTATTGTGAATAGTGCTGCCATGAACATTTGTGTACAAGTATTGTGTTTAAACAACTGTTTTCAATTATTATTGGGTATATGCCTAGGAATGGAATTGCTGGTCATATGATGACACTATGTTTAACTTATTGAGGGCTGGGCATGGTGGCTCACACCTGTAATCCTAGCACTCTGGAAGGCCGAGGTGGTAGTATCGCTTGAGGTCAGGAGTTCAAGACCAGCCTCAGCAAGAGCGAGACCTCATCTCTATAAAAAAAAAAAAAATAGAAATTAGCTGGGCAACTAAAAATAGAAGAAAAATAGCCGAGTGTACTGGTGCATGCCTGTAGCCCAGCTACTTGGGAGGCTGAGGCAGGAGGATGGCTTGAGCCCAGGAGTTGGAGGCTGCTGTGAGCTGGGCTGACACCATGGCATTCTAGCCTGGACAACAGAGCAAGACTCTGTGCCTGCCCTGGTGGCCACATGTGTATTTTCTCTGAACGGCCTAGTGTTTTTAAAAAATTTGAAGCAAAATATCAAAATCAGAAGATTTTGCCTCAAAATCTGGGTTTGGGCCTTCTCTTGGAAAATCAGGAGTTTGACAGCACGGTGGTGGAGCCAGCTGTCACCAAGTGGAGGCTGCTCTGTGATACTGAGAACCAGCTTCCCTGGCACCCATGGCCTCCCCTGGCCTACCTGGCCTGCAGGGCTGTGACCTGGTGTTTTAAATCGTGTCTACAGCGTAGGCGCGGTGGCTCACGCCTGTAATCCTAGCACTCTGGGAGGCTGAGGCGGGAGGATTGCTCGAGGTCAGGAGTTCGAAAACAGCCTGAGCAAGAGCAAGACCCCCATCTCTACTATAAATAGAAAGAAATTAATTGGTCAACTAATATATATGGAAAAAATTAGCGGCATGGCGGCGCATGCCTGTAGTCCCAGCTACTTGGGAGGCTGAGGCAGGAGGATTGCTTGAGCCCAGGAGTTGAGGTTGCTGTGAGCTTAGGCTGACGCCACGGCACTCACTCTAGCCTGGGCAACAAAGCGAGACTCTGTCTCAAAAGGGCAACGTGTGTTGAGCAGAGGGAGGAGCATGTGCAAAGGCCCTGAGGTGGGAAAGGAGTCTGGGGAAATTTCGGGAGCACAGAAGCCAAGGGACACTAGTGTTGTGAGATGAGGTTGGAGAAGGGCACAGGGACCAGAATATGGGGCGCTGGGCTCCAGACCCCCAGCCCAGACCTGACGGGCAGCATGTTAGTGTCACTATGGGCTTTGGTGTCAGGTCTGGTGGTTTATTTATTTACTTTTTTTTTACTTTTATTTTTTATTTATTTATTTTTTTTTGCTGGACTAAAACAAACAAAATTTACTTTTTTAAGAGACAGGGTTTTGCTATGTTGCCCAAGTTGGGCTTGAACTCCTGGGCTCAAAGGATCCTCCTGCCTCAGGCTCCCAAGCAGCAGAGACTAGAGGTGCATTTCTGCCACCACGGCTGGCTCCACATCTGGGTTTGAGTCTGGATTTTGCTGCTAGGTCCCTAGGAGTTGAGAGCACACACTCCAGGCAGGCTAGGCTCCCAGCTAGCTCATCACTTCCTTGCTGTGCAGCCTTTGCTACAACACTCAACCCTTCTGTGCCTCAGTTCTGCTACAGCCATGGGATTCATGCTGGATGTGGTGGCATGCACCTGTAGTCCCAGCTACCTGAGTTAAACTCATGGGCTCGAGAGATCCTCCTGCCTCAGCCTCCTGAGTAGCTGGGACTACAGGTAAGCACCAACATATCTAGCTAATTTTTCTATTTTTTGCAGAGATAGAGTCTTGCTATGTTGCCCAGGCTGGTCTCAAACTTCTGGCCTCAAGCGATCCTCCTGCCTTGGCCTCCCAAAGTGCTAGGATTACAGGAGCGAGTCACTATGGCTGGCCCAAGACCCTGTCCCTTAAAAAAATAAAAATAAAAATAAAAGCAGCTTAATGTTGTCTGAGGATGCTGCCAAGAGGCATAGGGAGATTTTTAGATCAGATGAGGGAGTGCTTACGGTAGGCCTCCCTGAGGAGGTAACAGCTGAGCAGAGACTTGAAGGAGGAGAAAGGAGGAGCCATGCAGGGATTCAGAGGGAGAGCATGCCAGGCAGACAGATTCTAACTCAGCCTGGATAAACATTAGGCATCAGGGTTGGGACTATGGCAAGGACTAGTGCTATTCTGAAGATAAATTGAATGAGTGAAGGTTTTAGGACTCTGTTTGCTCTAATCATTATAATTGGTCATCATTATCATAATAATTTATCCTCATTATTTTTTTAAATTTTTTTAACTTTTTAATTTAATTATTATTTTATTTCATTATTATTTTTTTTCTCAACAGCTTCAAATGTTTAACTGCTCTTTATCATTATGTTTAATGTGTGGCCTGGGCATCGGTTTTCTCACCTGTAAAATGGGACAACAGCAGCTGCGCCTGGCCCGTGGGTCCGGGACAGGGGCCTGGCTGAGGCCGGGGTGCC